AAAAATACTACTTTCTCAGGAAATAACTCTGCGGTAAACCTGTGCTGATATAAGTTCCAGAGAATTTCAACATTCTATAGAAAACTCATCAGCAAAACCTAACTGCTGCAGAAAAACAAACTAAAAAGCCACATTGCCACTAAAGCCCCCCCTTCTAATTCACAAGTTCAAACTTCATTTATCCATTCACATGTAATGAGGCAGAAGAACTTCTCAAAGAAGTGCTTCCATAGGCTGTTTAAAGTTTCAAAATAAAACAAGCTTTTCATGCCTTGTCTTCTAGCACATTAGTCCCCACAGCTGCCTGTTGCTCTGTTAGGACAACGCCAAATCCATAGCAGATGAATGGTTCTCCTCAGCATCACTTCATACTGACCTTTTCAACTATGGGATTTCAAAACCAACATCAAGAAATCAATTCCAACATGCACTGGATACTATTAACCTGTTTTGATGTATTATGCATCATCCATTACATACACAAGCTCTCCAACTATTACTTGTTACAAGCAAAGTGGTTTGCCACTGTGAATATGCCCAAGAAACCTGGGATTCGTCAGCTGAAGTACTGAATAACACTCAGTTTTTCTGCCTCTAAAACATATTCTTGAAAATGTAAGAGTAAATCAGTTCAAGCATGCAAGTGGCATGAGTATAATGAATACTCAAAACCAAAATATTTAATACATCTGGCATACTATGCTTTACATTTAATAGAAACACACACTGTCCCCTATCACTGAATTTGGCTACCAATTCTCTGTTAGAATAAAGAGATTATATTTGCTAGATAGGAAGGGGCTCCAAGAATCTTCAAGGAGTTACTAAAATTCTGCTGAACTGAGAGGTCCTCAAAAAAAAAATCTTCATACAGTCTGGTTCATTTCTAGACCCAGAAAACATCATCAGTTCAATGGCAGAATATTTCAGTATGGGAAAGGAAAAACTAATTCATAACATGCTGAAATTCCAGACACCTAGAAATGCTTAACACAAATAAAAACCAGCAAATCCAACAAATATTTACCATACTTAGAAGCCTTCAAATGATTCTCCAGCTACCTCACCTGCCAAAAATAAAGAAACCAAAGATAAGGTGCAAGTTTGCAGCTTAAATCAGCATAAAGGCTGTCACTTTGATCTCCAGCTGTTTGTAAAAATTTCTTAATTTCTTCACAAAAATTTTGGTTCTTCTTGTGGCTGAAGAAATTACATCCATCAGTAGCTAAAAATATTTCAGTTATTTGAATTTTCAAGAGGGGTGAAAAACAACTGTGCTTTATCAGTAAAGAAAACCCAACACAACATTTCAACAGTTTTTAACAAAGGCTGGCTTAGATCTAAGTAATAGTTAAATGTGAAGGAAAACATTTTGTTAAAAATTTAACAAATAAGTCTGGTGTAATTTGAGGTTATTATCATTATTACCCCTAAAGGCAGACTAAGTTCTCAGGAGAGAATATAAGCGCTATGGCAGTTCTGCTACAGCGCTAAGGCTCAAGGTGCTTCAATTTAATTGTCGGTCCAAATACTGATTTTTCTTAGATTACAGGTATTCTGTATGTGAGCCTTACACACAGAGAAGTTAACAGTCACCCTCTACCTCCACCTTTTCTTTTAAGAGAATAAGCAGTGACAGCCTACATCTCATCATACTCCTTGTACAGGGAAGCTTCCGAATGCAAAGTACAGTTCTATCCTACACTGGAAGACGTGTGTAATCTGATCCTATCGATGATCTCCATACACTGAATGCCATTAAGATTAGAGAACTAAGAAATTAGCCTGGCAAAACCAATTGCTCCCCATCAGCACTGTACAATAATGTATTTCAGCTATTGAGATAAATAACAAAACTTAGTAGCATAACCCTCTGGGCACGCACAGCCTGGTCAGTGACTTACACCTGTAATGCAATTCATGTGATACACTGCCTGTAGCTCAGGATCCTATGCAAGCAAAAATAAAATAAAAACACAAGTAATGACCACAACTTGCCTAATAATTTTAGCTGGACCAGCTGGACATGAGCCAGGAAGTAATAACACATAATAACACATCCCATTTGAACTGGAAAGTCCAAGAGGAGTTGTATTATACAACCTGTATTAGATTCCAGTGCAGTTACAAGATAACATTAAGTACACATCAGCTAAAGACAGGCCTGCAAGAGCAGATAGAAATTATCTGCAACAGTGTTTTTTGCTCTTTCCTCACACAAAGCAGCCAAGAGAACTCTGGAAGACAGTGCTCTGGGGCTGCTCAAAAGGACAAAGAGGACACACTAAGATGTGACTATTCATGCAGGAAGTTTAATCAAAAAACGAAGACTTGCAAAGGCATGAAAGCCAATTCACTGTCCAGGTGACATCAATACAGTGATGGAAACACTCAGCCACCATCAGCTCTTCTAGAATTCTTCACCAAAGCATCTGCTCTGGTTTGGTTAGCTTTTCAGAAACCCTGTCCTTCTCATCACTGTATAAGACACTTCAAAACACTCAATCATCTATCAGACGATGGCTTTTCCTTCTCTTTCCTCCATACAGCAATACTGACTGCAGACAGCATTATTCTTGTTTCAGAAAAGTAAATGGCATGTACCTTCTCACTGAAGAATAAAGTAAATAAACCTGAGCTAAAGTAGGCACACCGAAGAGTAGCTGATGTACAAGGAGTTTATATTGCGACTCCTAAAATCATGATCCCTTGAGGCATGTTTTACAGACAAGGCATATACTGAAAAACAAAACAGGTTTATGCTGTTATTAACCATGAAATGTCATATGTTATACCATATAAATCAAACATGAAGCCACAATAATGTACTCCTGCTATGAAAATACCTTTTTTAAGTACGAGCAATTCTATTTCTGACATGTAAAGTTATTTTTAATACTTCCATGGACAAATAGAAAGATTAACAAAGACTATTCAATTTCTGTAACTATTGACTGTAATCAAGACTATTGTTTCAGTATCTGATTAAAAAAATGTTTTCTATTTTCTCTTTATTTGAGGAAAATAGCCATGGAAAATGAGAAGAGGACTGGCCCAATTATACATTATTTCATGTACAACAAAACCTCTGTGTTCACTGCCTAATAACTCCATTCATACTGCCGCTAGCTATATAAACACAAAACTAATCTTCCAGCAAGGGACAGAAAAAGTTTGCTTTGCACAACTCATCCCCAGAATTCAGCTGGAAATAAATCAAGTTTCCACATCATTTTAAGGGAAACATAGTATGGTCCTAGTCTCAAATGAATAGCTGCAGATAAAACATCCTAATTCTTACTAAGAATGACTTGGGGCCTGTGGGCAGATAACTGTCCTTCCATCTTAGCATATTTTCTTCTGATGAGAACCAAAATGGCAAAAGACTGTAGGATAACAGCTAACAAAGTTCCACCGCTCAAACACAGGGTTTAATCTTCAACCCTTTAAGTTTGCAAGCACTGTAAGCAGTAACTTTCACAGATTTCCAGCCTGAGCACTACTCTAGCATAATGATTTTGTATCACATCAGCCTCCATATATTAAAGGCCACATAATTTTGCATCTGAACTACAGATCTCTGTAGTGTGGGACAGCATACTGGAGGATAAGAACTGCAGCCTTATTCCATTACTTCATTCCTCTCTTCAAGTACACTCACTATTAGTTTATGGAAAATACTGTATCAGCCCAAGTCAAAACAACAGTCTGTCTCCTCTAAATGTAGCAATTTTTTATTCCCTGTGTAAAGTTTTAAAAAGGCCAGTCTTGCATGATAGGCAAGACAAAATAACCTCCTCATCCCCAGATTAAAGGTTTCTCAAAGCTCCTGGCTGCTTTCATAATTTGCCCCCATTTTTTTCTTATGGGAATACTGAACCCTCATTCCCTGTAGTTTATAAAAGAGGTACAAAGGACTACAGCTTTTTCCTATTCCTGCACAAACAGCACATACACTACACCACTTGTGCTTTGAAGTGTTTTCTATCAATGAATCTCACAACTGTATCCAATAACCCATCACTCAAGCACTGGCCCCACTTCACAGATTACTGCTCAACCTGAAACTATCAGTCCTTCTCCTGTTATCTGCAGCGATTACTGAACTATATCAGAAAGAAGGAGCATAAACAAAGTATTTCTTAGCTGCTTTTAGGTCAGCGTTAGACATTGAGCAGTTGAGATAAATCCCTGTCTTCACACGCCTGCACTCACCCAGACTCCAGGCTTCTTCTCAGCGACACATTCACTTAAGAGCCAAGTAGAAAAAAACGATTAAGCCATTAAAAAACAGAAAAACAAAACAACAAAACAACCCCCTCCAAAACAAACAAACAAAAAACCCAAACAAACAAAAAAAAAACCACCAAAAAAAGCCACGTGCTGGGGCAGGGAAGGGTTTAAAAGTTCCCGAGCTGTCAAGGACTCCCAGCGCCCTTCAAAGCCAAAGACGATTATTTCTAAGTACTTGAGGAGCGCAGGACATTGGAAGCCCCGCCGGTGGCACGCCGCGGGGGCCGCTCTCGGGGGCCGAACACAAGCGGGGAACGAGCCCCAGGGCGGGCGGCTCCCGGGAATGGGCGCCGTGCTCTCGCTGCCCGGACGGAGCGCTCCGGGAACACTTCGGGGGCCCGTCCCCGACCCCGCGCACGGAGAGCTCCGGAGCCTCCCCCCGGCCGCGGCGAGGGGCCGAGGTCGGTGGGAGGACTCGGAACAAAGCTGAGGCGAGAGGGCCCGAGGACGGGCAGCTGAGCCCGGGCCAGCGGAGCACAGCCAGCACCTCCGGAGCGACCCACCGGCGCCCCCGCCGCGGCCGGGAGGAGAAAGGGGGCTCCCGCAGGGCAGCGGCGGGATTATCCCCGCAGGCTGGAGACCGCTAAAGAGCGGCTGCTTCCCCTCCGCGCTCCTCACAGGCGGGGAAAGGACCCTCTGGGCGCCGCCGCCCGCCTTGCCTCCCTGCACGATGGCCGCGGGGGGCTAGAGCAGTGCCCCGCACCCACCTGACACCGCGCTCCGTTCCATCCCGCTCCAGCCGCCGCCGTTCCAGCGCCCCAGCCGCCGCCGCCGCCTTCGCGGGCTAAGCCGCCGCCGCCCCGCCCCCTCAGCCGCGGGCCCCGCCCCCTCTCCGCCCTTATGGCTCGTGCGCGAGGGGCGGGGCGGAGCCCGCCAATGGGGAGCAGGGCCCGGCGGCGCCGATCGCTGATCGACGTGGAGGATGGCCAATGAGAGCGCCGAGGGGGCGGGGACAGCTGTCAATCAGCGGCCCCTACCTGGGGCTGGAGAGCGGCCGGACGCGGGGGGTGGCGATTCTGTCTTTCCTCCATCCCTCGCTCCCTCCCTCATCCATACATCTCTCCCTTCATCCTCTCGTCTCTCTCCCGGCCGCCTCGACCCCTGACAGCTTCGGCCGCGGTCCCGCCTGGCACCGTGCGGCCGCCCAAGCGCCCAGGGTGTGGTGGCTGCCCTGGGGTTCCCATCCGGCCCCCCGAGACCCACGTGCCCCTCGGGAGCAGCCGCCCCTTCCCCGCCCGGCCCCGGCTGTGGGACAGCCGTGCCCGGTCCCTCGCAGTCCCCGGGGCCATCTGGCGCCTCCCCCGCGTGGCTCGCGGGCCCGGGGCCGTGACCCACCCACCGCCCCGGCCCCTCTGCTGCCCGCAACAGGCCTCTGCGGCGCTTCTGCCCTCATTCCGACTGCCACAGGCACACCCACCCCCCGCTGCCCTTTTCTTGCCCTTGCGACCCAATTCCTGCTGAATCCAGCTCCTGGGCATCCGGGCCCCCAAGAGATCCATGTTTATCCAGGCGGGCTCTCGCCCCGCTGGGCAGGTGCACAGCGAGGGCTGCGGCCGCCGAGCCAGCCCCAGCCAAGTGCCCCTTCCAGCTTTGCCCGGCCTCCCGTCCTCTGTGGTTACCCCTGCGGCGGGGGCTTCTGCTACACTCCGCAAAGCCTTTAGGAAAAAAAGTAGGTGGGAGTGTATCACGTGAATCAGATTTTGGAACGGCAGGGTGGGTAGAACAAGTGCTAAATGGATTTTAATGGCCCGGGCGGCTTCAATAACTAAAGGCAACCAACACAGGACACCCAAAACCAGCAAGCCCATGAAGATGAGGAGCAGCTGCTCTGCCCAGTTCAGCAGGCTGTCCAGATCGATAAAGTCTCTGCTTGGCCTTTGTATGGGACAGAGAGGTCAGGATCTTCCCCCGTGATCATGGCTCGGAATAATGCTCTACAGAAGAGGAGCAGGCAGGACCCACGGCGGTGAGGGGCAGCCGATGGAACCAGCTCAGTATCCTGCCCTCATCCGGGGAGGCTCAGGCCGGACCCCGAGGAGCCGTGGGGCAATGGTGGCTCGGGCTGTGGAAAGCTGAAGGGGGCCACTGTCTTCTGGAGTCATATTGAATAAATACCATTTAGTCAATAAAAACAATCACGGCTGAAAGTAGTGATATAAAGTAGTGAAAATAATTTTTAACACCATCTCCAGTCAATTTGCAACCAAAAGTTTACTGAACTCAAACCCGGTTGTACCACTTCAGTTACCCACATCTTGCCTTACTGCAAAGTTGTAGGCTCATAGGCACCTCTTTTCACAAAAAAAACCAAAAAAAAACCCAAACAAAAACAACAGAAAAAAAGCAAAACAACAGCAACAAAAAAAACACTATGTGAGGTTGCTATAATTTTCCGAAAAATTATTTGTATTTGAGGTACTCGTATAGGTCATGGTAAGAAGCAACAACTGAGAATTACTCCAGGTTACACAGCAAAAAGCAGCAAGCCAGCTTTGAACTGCGGTGACAGTTTTATGATCACTAGCAAAGTAAACAGAAAAGAAGTCTTTTAAGTAGCATAACCCTAAAAGAAGGAAGCTGCAGGCTTTTTACTCAGCATAAGGGCTTAGTGGGACAAAAATCCTAAGAGCAAAATAGTCTCAAGGTTTTCAGAAAAATTTGTTCCCCATCCAAAGAAAGAGTATTTTTCCTAAAACACTTGCAGCAAGTGGAAACTCTTCAAAGACTTTAAAATAAAACAGAGGGAAAATGACTTGCTATTGTTAAAACACAGCTGCATACATGCTTGTTCAGTGGTCCTTTTTTCATGCTGAAAATGGGATCTTGAGGTTTCAAAATACTAATTTCAAATAGACCTATCTCTACCAGTACTTTTTTCCTGCTCCATCAATACAGGTAAGTAGCCTGTGTGATGCAAGGTATTAATTAACATTTATTTCATTCCGGCTGCTTCCTAGTCTCCTGGATTACTTCTTAGCTTTCATTTTTCTCCTCTGTATTCATGACATTTTTAATGCCATTTCTAATAACATCTAGATCTTGTAAGAAAGGAACTCAGGCACAGCTTTATTACTGCTGTTTTGACCTTGCCTTTGAATCTGCAAATAAGGCAAATCTGCCAAACCATTTGTGTTGAACTGGTATTGAGTTTTCATTAAGAGAAAAAGAAAGGTAGTTACATTAAATGCAAGGAATAATTGAATCAGCATTTATATGAACCAATATTATTTTTAAGTTAAGCCATGCTTCAGAAAAGCCCTCTGAAGGCAGTAAATAGAGGTTTAGACTGGCACACCAAGAGATATCCAGGATTGATCTTCTATTAATTTCACTTGAAGGAAGAACCAGACTTCAGAGGATAATGAAAAGGGAGGGTTATTGGAGACTGAAACCAAGATGAGTTAGTGGAAGTGAGCATGACATTTTCTTAATGTCTGTTTATAATATTACTGGCTTAGATCAAATTTATATGGACCTCCTTTTCTTGAATAGTTTATTCTGCACACACACAAAAAGAAACAGCATAAGAAGAAACAATATTTTGAAAGCCTGCTATACAGCTTGTTGCTTCCTGCTGGAGAGCATATTTCATGATATGAAAACCTTTTTGTCTTTCAGGAAACACAAAATTGCTGAATAATGTTAAAATAAATAGTGTTGCGCAAATGATTTACAGCGCCGCCAATAATCATTACAGCATCTCTGATTATTAATGGTACATTGATAGGCCCCTGCAGAGTTTCTTGCTGAATCAGCTTTTGAAATAAATTGGTTTCCCTCCATCTGCAGGCGCACCCCAGAGAAAGGGGAACCGTGTCTCGACTGAAGTAATTGATTTAGGATAGTCAGCAGATACAGACACTGCACAACCTGCGATGCTCTATGAATTACTACGTCTCTGTTAATGGAATTTATTTTCCTTTATCACTGGTTAGCCTTGATAAGGCTGTATATGTATTCCTCATGCTATTCATATTTTCAATGTTTTTGGTATTACCATATGACTCACAGTTTTCAGGAATACTTTCCTAAGACTCTTAATTTTATCTCGCGTTTTCTTTATTGTTTTCCTTCTACTATCCCTGGATTGCTGGAATACTGAAAGACTAGCAAAGAATATGAAACCAAGATGCAAGTAGATCCTCAAAGGAAACATTCACTGTAAGTTCAAAGAGTCACTGTGTAATCAATCTTGAGGAAAAAAAAATGCAGGGAAGCAAGAACAAAAGGAAGCCTAATAACTTTTCAAGACAGCTACTTTCATCAACTAAACAGGAGTTGTAATTCTTCCAATTAATAGTAAGGTCCATTAGCTGTAAGTCATAAAAACTAATTGCTATGCAAAGCACTCGTTTTTCTTTGCTGGCCCTGACATTTTGGGAGGGCAGTGTATCAGGATATCCTATGAAGCATAGACTGGTGATCTATAGCAGCAGTGGACAGACTCTCTTAATGGCTTTACAGCATTGCCAGTTGAACAAGCTCCCTTTATAAAAATAAACACAGGAAAGACACGATTCCAAGTTCCCTGAGAGATTAAAAAATTATATACAGAAAGTTGTAGTTACTAGTGCACTGTTGATTTAGTGTGGCACAGCTAGGACGAATGAGAAGAAAGTAAAAATTAGGAACCAGGGTGAATATCATGGGGAAGGGAAGGGAAGGGAAGGGAAGG